TGGATGATGTGTGAGAGGCAGGAAAAGAAAGTACATCCTGCTTTAAGTGCAATTTGTATGTATACATCCCAGTACTCAAATGTGTTTGTGTGAGAAAATAAAGTATTATAATGGGAACTTGGGTGTATTTCTGATGTAACAATCAGTCATCTTCACAACTCAGGGATGTAAAACAGCGGCAGAAAAGTAATCGACATTGATTCTTCTGGAGCACAGACTACACAACCTAAAAAACACTGACTCAAATACATTATTATGATTATGATTATTATACAATATTATTGCTTTATAAAGTTGTTGTGGCAAATGTGTTATAAACCTACTTCCTCTGTTTTAACTCAAGCTCAAGTCAATTATTTGGTCATCTTCTTATTAACTATTTCATTCTGATACAACTTTATGTCGGTTAAAAGCAAATCAAAACTAATAAAACTGTTATTCTGTGTCTTAATATTTTCTTTAAAAGACTCACGTTGGTGGCTGACAATACAATGTGCAGCCAGCAGTTTTAGCAGCGGTACTTCAAACAGGGCCTGGTTAAACAGCAGCTCTCGGGCTGTAGGTCTTGTACTGGGATCACATTCGAGGCACTTCTGGATTAACTCCTACAAAAACAAACACCTGGGTCACACACTTCTGGACAAACCTGTTGTATACCCAAATGGGACTTTCAAAGACACATTACTGCACACACAAAACATGCAAACACCTAGTCCACCCTCTTTATCTCACCCTCTGCAGTGGGTCCTCCAGTAACTGTATGGCATTGTTGATGGCCTCCTGAGAAACATAAGAGGACTCTCCATTCCCCTGGATTTCCAAGAGCGCCATCTGCAACAGACAACACTGTTAACGCATTGCTTCAGGGGAGGGGGAGGGCCATTCTTTTATGTACTGTGGGTCCCATCTCACCTCTAAGGCACACATGCCAAATGAGTAGATGTCTACAGCCGTGGTGACATCATCAACAGCTACAATGAGCAAAAGAATAATTAAAAACACATACAGATTTTATATCATAGCTTACCATTACTTGGCATTCAATAACTAAGAAGTCCATATTACGTTAAATAAAAAATGGCTTAATAGAGAAACATATTCAAACATATTCATACATATATAACATATTTATACCTATTTATATTTATAACTATGGAAGTGAACACATTTTACCATTCTCTAATTCTATTGTGTTTTGTAAACATTAATGTGTCTTCTGACATCTTTCCAATATATCTGTATGATCCAGTTTACTCTCAATATCAGAAATAACTATTAAGAGTCATTGTATGTCTACCTCCATATTCAGGGGCAAAGAAGTGCATGTTCTTCTGTTCCTCATGACACGTCTTCACGTGGTTGTTGATGGTGTCTGGGGCAACTGCAGATGAAAAAGGAGGGGAGAATATGGAGGGGAGACAGAGAACAGTGAGAGAAGTGAGTACGACGCAGGAAGAAGAAATATAACGACAGAGGAAAGAGAAGAAAGAATGTGATACAGGGAGAAACAAGAGGTAGGGGAAAAGAAGAAATATCAAAATGACCTTTACACTGTGTAAACTATAGCGTGGGATGTTGAGAGTTTGAAAGCTGCTCTTTAGATGGAAGTAAGTTCAAAGAAGCTTTTGTGGCTTGAGTCATTGCAGTATGTGTACACACAACAGTGGTTTTCTCTAAACCACATAACACACTATACTCGTTCACAATGAGCAGGGTTATTTCGGTAAAGGGATATTACCACAACTTTTGTCACAAGAGAATTGTTGATTGTTCCGTGAAAGCACCGTATGAGATTGTTACTTTTGTTCATATAAAACTGGTACTGTGTAATCATGGAAATTCACTGTACAATTATGTGAAATTTCCAGCCTTTAATCCATAATTCAGTATCATTTGACTCCATCAACGGTGCTCCAGCTCCACTACTTAACCGTCTAAGATGAAACCGGTGTAACTCTATACCTGATCCGATCTTGATGAGCCCGTTGTGTTGGATGAAGATGGTGTCACAGGTCAGGTTGCCATGGAGGATGGGAGGGTCACATGAATGGAGATAACTGCAGTAAAGAAAGAAAAAAACATCCACAGACACAAACTATATGAGAAAGGGATTGGATTGATTTTTTTTGTTGTGTGAGTGCATTTTTCTAGAGTGACCACATTGAATTTAACGTAATGTTTGAAAAGGGGAAACCAACCTGAGAGCAGACAGGATCTGTGTGCACCATCTCTTCCAAGCCTGTAGGACCATACATCTTATCAGAGCGCTTACTCGCTGGTTTTCAATATAGAGTAACTTTGACTTTCATAATCTAATTTAACTTTGCATAAAACTGGTTCACAGCATATTTGCAAATTTGCAAATGCTTTCTATTCTTTCCTTTGCAGCCAAACACCAATAAATGAGTTTATGATATTATTGGTCCTTGCTTTGGAAAGCCCCTCTTATCCATGCTGTGATACAGGGGCTCTCACTTCTCACTTTATATGTAGGTCACGTACAGCAAGATCTACATTTACCATTATTCTATTAACGTAAATTTACATACAGTCGGTTATTACCTTTTCATTCATGGTTTTGTGATTCTTCTTTGTCTTCTTTAGAAACTGCTTCAAGCTTCCTGATGACATATATTCAGTTATGAAAATCACCTGAGGGAGAGGAAGAAATTAGGGGAAACCTGGTGGGCAGACACGATTTAAATACAAATAAAGATATTATACGTATTTAATTTGTAAATTATGATTCTACTTATGAAGACAGACAAATGATTTAATAATAATCCCATGTCTGCAATTTGAAGTCTGCCAATTACATCTTATGCAATTGATGTCATGTTTTGCCAGGTCTGAGACTCACCCTAGCCCGGTTGTCCTTTGTGTCGGCCCAGTATTTGTGAAACTTGACAATATTTGCATGTTCCAAATGGATCAGGTTATCAAATACTCCCTTCACTTTCTCCTAAAAACAGGGGAAATAAAACATGTTAAAGTATAATTCATTATAATACTGATTTATATAAGGACATTTTGCTTTTACACCGAGTATCACCTCTGTGCCGTAGCTGATGGGTAATATGTCTAAAATTCATGTGAACAAACTATAAAGAATCATTACTGTCTCTTATAAGGAGTGCAACCTTAATCTCATCAGGTTTGTGATATTACAGCTGCAACAATTAGTTGACTAGACGGTCATTAACCAGCAACTATTTTGATAATTAAGTAATTGTTGTGATTAGAAATTTCAAACAATGTGAGGATCTGCTGCTTTCCTTTCTCATATATGATACAACTGAATCAATTAATCAAGAAAATAATCAATTAATGAAATTATTTAAATGAAAATGATCATTACTTGAAGCCCTATAATAGACAATGCCAGAGATTGTGTGACACTAGTAAACTGTACACAAATTCTCAAGTTATGCTCGGACAGTCTCTAACTGCTTTGTAACAACAGAGGAGCATTTTTTAAAATATTTTCCACAAAAGGTAGAAATGCTTTCCTTTGAAGTAACTTGGTTTTTCTGCATTGCAGACACAGAGCTGCCTCATGCTCATTACTAGTTTGTGCGCAATATAGTAAAAGAAGTTTTACCCAATCGATCTTTATAGTTATCTTTGTGTATATGTGCTGAGGTATATAAAGATCTTTCATTGGTGTTCTTTTCCCCCTTCTTATACTGAGGGGGAAATCTTCACCATCCCTTGGAGGAGTTGACAGAGAAAAACTTTTTTGTTTGCTGTCCCAATCCATGTTGACTTATCTGTACAATTACATCTCAAGTCAAGATTATGTGACAATCAGCGCATAACACTCGAAGCGACTATCATTAGCTGTTTCATTCCTGTTCTGTGACAGCGAGCCTCACCTCCAGCTGCTTGAAGTTCTTCCTCTCTGAGATCATGACTTCATTCCACACTACCTCTACTCCTTCCTCTGTGTCCATGGCCAGGTATGCAACATCTATCCCTGGGACATTACGCTGATTCACCTACAGTGGCAGTGAACAGGAAACAGCTTATGAGATAATACTTTTGACTCTGAAATAAAGACACAAAAACAGCTCACAAAAAATAAACAGATTGTCGTTCCAATCTTGTGTTCTCACCATTTAACAGTTTCTTTCCATCTCTTTTCTATTGTTTGTTATTCTTTATAGCTATAGTATATATGTGCTAACCATGCCTTCTGCATTTAATTACTGAACAATGACAAGACGCTTGATTTATAAAATGCCGAAGTTGTTGTTTTTCTTGGGGGGGGTAATTGAAGCAATCATCCACTAAAGACTAATTTGTGGGAACCAATCCTCCTTTTTGTTAAAATATCACTGACTTAGTATCTTGATACTGATAAAAACTACATTTTGCATATGACAAATTCAGAACATTTATTCTCAATTAGAAGAACGTGATCTGATAACAGTAAGGAAAGATCTACATCGCAGTAATATTGCGATCCGTTAATTCAGCTGACTGCGTTTCATGACTCTGGTACACATACTCACAAGTCAAAAGCCACTTAAAATTGTGACTGATGCAGTGACGACAACTTCATGAGACACACTGCATGTGAGAAATTACCTCCTCTCTGCGCTTCTGCCAGCGGCCACAGGGACTCTCCTCCAGGATTTCTGACTCATCTTCACTCTCATCCTCATCCTCAGTTGGTGTGGTAGCAGGAGGCTGTATGGAGGCCACAGGGGAAGACACAGATGCCCCAACTGGTACCTGTTGAGTACTGCTGGACATGTGTCCTGCTGTGGGGTCTGGCATGTTTCCCTCTTCACTTGGAGCTCCTTTCCCCTGTGGATCCGACATCGCCACACAACTGGTTTGCTTGTTAGCTTTCCTTCCCTAAGCTCCAGTTGCTGGGCTGCAACAAGTGATAGGAAGCCTCTTTCTTGCTTTCTCCTCTCTCTGTTTGAGCTGCTCACACATCCATGTTGGTCTCTGGCCTGGCTTTCAACACGGTAGAGCTGAAGGAGAGAGGAGTGTAAACAAATGACACATGCGGGGGGAGATCAGGTAGCCACTGTTACTGGTGGCAATAAAGTTACAAGTATCGTCGTACTTTCACACCTGGGTTAGTTAGTTAACTAATAAGAGACGAAATGAGCATTGTGTCGGATGCTTTACTGGGCGCTTGGCCCCGGGGGCAAACAAACATTACTGTTACAGGACACTAAAACAACAACTCACTCAAACCAACGAGCCAACGTGGCTAGCTGTTGAAGGCTCTTGCTAATGTTCAACGTTAGCTTAGAGAAGTTCAGCCTCCCACTCCTTTGCTAACTTTTCCCCGGCTAACAAGCTAATGGAAGGTAAATAAACAAATAGCTCACGGAAAGTGAAGTAGCAGTGTGTAAATATCTTACCGTGAAACAGAAAACTATCCGCGAATAAATACCCTGGGGTTACATACTGATGAAGCTGTGAAAAGAGACGCTTTTATACAAAAATGCTAGTTCGTCATAAAATATGTTGCTGGCTTTCAAGTCCCTCTTAGCAGAAGTGGGAGGGGCGGGGCAGCGCTTAGGGAGCGCTTGTTTGCGCGCAGGAAACGCAGTGGTGTAGGGTTACTAAGTTACTAGACCATTAAAACAAGTAGAACACATGAGGTTTTAATGACAAATATTACCATTAATACAACGTTAAACAGTAACCTGTGATAGAGAGATACAATTGTGTTGTTGTTTTATTTAGTTAATGTTGTATAAGAGTGGCTGAGTCCGTGGAGTCGATGTTTAACGTCCCCCAACGTAATGTGTGTTTGTTTTAACTCCGTTAAGCACCGTGAAAACTAAATTATACAGCTTGTGTCGCTTCTTCAGCCACAAGATTTAATTCACTTATACTGAATAAAGACTTTCAAACAACCCACATTTAGTTCAACATTTATTGTGATGAGTCGTTTTATGTATTATATGTACCTTTTAAGCATAATTGCCGCCTTAATATTCATAATTCTTAAAAATACTAAAATCAAGCGCACTGGTTCTGATGGTGAGCAGCTCAAAGAACCATCAAGATAGTTCACATCCTAAATGCTAATTAGGACTGAGCGGGCGACAGCTAACGTTATGTAAAAATGTGTCCATATCTGAAATACCAGTTTCGGTAACTCATTAAACCCATACATGTTATGCTATTTGGCTATAACAAATACGTCTTTTTCCTGAAAAGAACAGTTTAACATTAGGGATCCAATCTACGGGGTTTAGGCGAAAGCGGAAGTTGTCGGGGGTGAACACTCTCGCCTCGCTTGTAGACGGTTTGTACAGCTGTTTCACGTTGCTAATATTCTGCGCAAGATGTTATCCACGATTTAGTTACATACAAGGCAACGATGCACACTGGCCGCTGGAAGATAAAGGGTTTCTTGTGTGTCAGTCTTCAGGATAAAAAGACCCCTGTGTTCGCCCACTATGCGGAGGCTTAACGACACCGACGCCGTCCGCATAGGTCGTATATAGCGGGTATTTTATGGAAGGTGGGACGAGGCAGAGGCGGTGAGGCTGGGGAGTCAGGACATCGGCAGAGCTGGAGAGCAGCGTTAGCAAGCTAGCTTTCGTGACAGTAGCGGCTGTAACGGTGACTTTTCTCTGCAACAGCCCGTAGTTCAGGTCATCATGGCTACGAATGGTAACAATGTAACGCCGGGGATGGGAGATATCATCCAGTTAAACGTCGGGGGGACAAGGTAAGCTTCGCCAGCCGGACAGCCCGACAGATGATGGTCATCATTTGGGAAATTTGAGCTCTGGCTACGTACGTGTATGATGATATCTGCATGGCCAAGCAGCCATGGATGTAGCTGAAGTAGATAACACCACTCAAGGTTGTGTACTTCATCAGTACTCTTCATCATTCACTTTATCACTCTCTTCCTCACGCACACACACACACACACGCACACACACACTCTGGTGTTTCTTGATATTTTAAATTGAACATATTCATACATCTGCATTATAACATTGGTGCGATTTAGTGATGAATTTCTTCAACAGGGCAGTTTCATGAATGGCATTCGTCTTGGTCAACAAATGATCCATCCACCATTTTCATGCTCATAATGTGTCACTGACCGATACATTTCTCACTGTGTTTGTAATAAATGTGCTACTGTTGTGTCTTTATACTCTAGGTTCAGCACCTCCAGACAGACTCTGATGTGGATCCCAGACTCTTTCTTCTCAAGGTTGGTTAAATGTCAGCATTTTGACTTTAAAAGCTGATGATACATGGAATTGATCTGATGAGGTTGTCAAGTTGACAAGTGTTATTCCTACAACTAATGACAAGTCACATGAATGCTATGCAGGTTGGATTGTGAAATGTTAGTATTTCTGGGTTATCTAGCAGCTCAACCAGATTAGATCTCTGATGAATCAATTGAATCATTTAGCCTACAAGTGCAGTGTCAGATATTATGAAGAAGATTCAGCTGTGCATAAAATGGAACTGAGTGTATCTACATAACCACAGTGAGCGTTATAACACGTACATGAAGTATTTGAAACCAGGGACCCAGACCAACATGAAATTAAATATACCTTCACTAGACTGCCCTTGAGACTAGACTAAATAAACTACTAGTAGTACTGCTGCTGCATATAGGAGTAGTACCAGAAACAGGTCAAAGTCAGCAGGCCATGGGGCATTTGTAACTTAGCAAAAAATGTATATTACATAATTAATGGTAAGTAGGGATGTTCCATCTTGCTTCATACTTCTACCATTCTGGTGATGGGAAATATCAGGAGATTACAATTACAGTCTGCTATGATTGGAAGAAGGTAGAAGATCAAGTCAGCTGCGTTACTTTTATCAATGTAAATGTTTTTTATTTTAATGAGGCAAACCTCTGGTCTTATATTCATCCAATGTCAATGTGAACACTGTGACAGTCAAATGCAAATTGTTGAATTACCCCAAAGTCATTTTTTCAATGCCAATGTGTTAAAGTTAAAAGTGTGTTAAAAGCTTCCTAAGATACAACAAAGCAAAAACAACACAGGGCATGCACTTTAAAGATGGATAAAGAACAAAAACATATATACATATAGAGTGACACTAGCACACTAGAGTTGTAAACAGGCAGATATACTGTAGATAGCAAGGGGGAAAATGCCATCCATTACAATATATGAAGTATGTATGTTTGAGCTTATGTGAGCACATGTTGTCAGTGAGTTATTTAGGTGTGATTCCTGCTCTAGAGGGGAACCCGCTGTTGAAGGGAAACAGCTGATTGGGGCTTGGAAAATACCACAGTCATAACAAACTCAAACACAGCCGACCAAGTAGTCAGTCTGTCTGCCAGTACACCTGTCTGCCTGCCTGCCTGTCAGTCAGTCTCGTTGCCCCCCGCTGTCTGCAGTGTACAGTCAATATAAAGTAATCTGTCATACAAACTTGCAGTACATGCTGATGCAGCACTAATCTGTAGTAGTGTAAAATCAAGTATTTTTTACCGTGCTAATAATTTGTATTTACTTCAGGTAGTGGTAACACTGCTGGTAAGTGGAAATGGAGAAGAAGGGTTTGGGTTAACTGGAGAAGTGTGTGTGTGTGTGTTTTTTCCAGTTTGCTGAGTGGAAGGATATCCACTCTTCGGGATGAAACTGGAGCTGTGAGTATAGCCTTTGTCTAGTCTTATTTGAAAAGTAGGACAGCATCTGCAGGCCACATCTGAAAATTCTCTAAAAGTTTCCAGCAGATAGGACATGGCATTAAATTTGTTCTGTTCTGATGCAACTTACTGAAATCTGACGCTTTGCCCTAAGATTATGTGTATCCTCACAAACAAATTCTTGTTAGATGAGACACTGTTTTGTACTGGTTTGTGTAGGACTACATTTAAATTACAGATGAATAATTCAATCATTTTTGATTGTGTTAAAGACAGTAAATTGTCACAAAGTTGTGATACAGCCCATGGCAAAACTAGAAAAGTAATTCCATTTAGAGAGAAAAGCATCAAATTCTCACGTCTGCGGGGATGGAACAAGCAGATGTTTTTATTACTGATTATCTAAATTGTTGTCAATTAATTTTCTTTTAATTCACCTAATCATCTCAGCACTATTTTTGTGTACGGTTCCTGCTCTGTTGTATTGATGTACATATTTTTACACCATTGATTAAGCCCTGCATTTTACATCATAATATATGTTCCTCTACTTCCAGATATTTATCGACAGAGACCCTACAGCTTTTGCCCCAATTTTAAACTTCCTCCGAACCAAAGAGTTGGACTTGCGGTAAGGAGTCACAACACTATTCAGAAATGATCCCTAAATGTTTATTTTATGAAGACATTGTGTTGAGTTTTGACCAGGATCTTACACTATACTTATGCTGCTTTTTCCTCTGTAGGGGTGTCAACATCAGCATCCTGCGACATGAAGCAGAGTTTTACGGGATTACTCCTTTAGGTATGTTGCTGTACAGAGGTTGTGTAGGAAATGGAAGTAGCAGCTTTGTTCTTAGCACAAGTAGTGACACGTATAGACATTATGGAAATGTCATAATGCCTGCATATCAAGTATTGTCTGTAGCTAATACATTTTTGTCACAAGATTTGTCAGCAGTCTCTACATGTCTTTGGTATTGCATACCAGCAGAGAAGGAAAGGGAAATGTTGTCCTGTATAGTCAAATGTGGTTTTGGCTTCAAATACAGCTTGACCGAGGCCAAATCCCATTACTGTTAGTTCCATGTACTTTAATGTTTTACTTCCTGTTTCAGTGTTTGTAACTTCCCTGCAGTGTCTAATTTACTTAAATGGGAAAGTTACCTTTGTGACAACTGATCACCTGGTTAAAATCACAATATACACAGCAGTGCACATGATACAAAGATACAAAGCAAAGTGATCACATACAATTTAAAGTGTATTGCTCCATTTCAAAGACAGTATCTACTCAGTAATGTATAATAAAACTTTGTAAAAATGACTAAAGAAAACACAAAATGAAGAAATACCATAGAGCAAAAGGATGATCAATTATGATATATGTCAATGAAAAAAATATACGAGCCAATGTATAGTCATAAGTAGATTAAACTTTTTTTTCTTCATATTTTGCAGCTATTAATAATTAGTCACTTAATCTTGTGTTTGTGTTTGTGCATGTGTGCAGTGCGGCGCCTGCTGCTCTGTGAGGAACTGGACCGCTCATCATGTGGAAGTGTGCTCTTCCATGGTTACCTGCCACCCCCAGGTAAAGATATGAAACTGAGCAATACAGAAAATGAACTGAAAATAGAGTAAAACCAATTAACTGTGAACAGAATATTGTACAGATGTTCCAAAAGCAGTTGCTCAATTACTAAATCCAAATTATATTTATTCATCTTGGTGTATCTTTTCTTGACAGCCATCCCTGCCCGCAAGTTGAGCCCTGCCTCAGCAGCCACTGGCTCCTCCGCTGATGAACGACCGGGTCCAAGTGGAGCAGAGGGCTTCACCCGCGTTGGTCCCCCTCCTCACCCTTCCCTC